AAGTAAAGTAAATGGAAAGTAAAAGGACATCCCATTTCTCAGTGACATCGAACCCCATGTGACCAAAAAAAGAAAAGAAAAGAAAAAAAATGAAAGAACTGATAGTATTTCAAGTTCAAGAACTTTAACCACACCTCTGTCTTTTGCAGGAATGCTGAAGAGATACACACAAATTATTTTTCAGAGCAAGTTTTTGAAGATTCACTGATTTACACTCATAAGAAGCACACGGGGAAGATGAAAAATTCTTTCAGCATCTTTCTTGCAGTTTTATCACATCACTTTTCTGGTACAAAATGCTCCAATGAAGCCACAGCAGACGGTGACATCATTATCGGAGGATTGTTCCCGATTCATGAAAGCGTTACTGTTACTGTGAATGATGATGGCCGTGAAAACCGGACATGTGACAGGTAATACACATACACAACTGATCATTGTACACATTTTATTAGGGTATATTTATATATAATATATCTGATTGTGTTGTACAGGTTTAGCACAGCTCGTCTGGTCCACTCTCTGATAATGGTGCACGCACTGGAGGAGATAAATCAGGAGCGAGAGTTGGGAAACCTCACCTTGGGATACCTCATACTTGACTCCTGTGGGGACGTTACTACTGCCCTGATACAAACCCAGGCCTTCATGATGAGAAACAGTGAGTTCTCTCGGGGATAGAAATCTGCCTTGTTATTTGAGAATCATTTTTGACACGCAATAGTTCTTACTAATTGAATTTTCTTTGGAGATCATCATGGGAACATAGCACATCAACTAAGAGAGATAATGGATACTAAATTAGGCATTTGTGAACATTTTCTTAAAAGTTGTATATTTATATTTATATTGGTAACTGGTAATTATGAGACCGTGCATTTCAGGTAATTTTACAGAATCAGCAGGAAGTAATGTAGTAGTGTAACGAATAGTGTAGCAAATTACTTTCTCTGGCTTGTAATTAAGTGTTGTTCTAAATTACTTTTGACAAAAGTAAAGATTTATACATTCTTTGTCTGTGTATTCTCTTAAGTTACTCAATGTGAATAATGTATTTGGAATACTTTGGATTACTTGATATATTGTCATGCTTTTTAGCTTGTTAGCTGGCGTTAGCTGAGGTTAGTTCAGAGACCGCAGACTATTAGACTTGATGGATAGTATTAACAACCTGCTAGCTGCAAATAATCATGTGCAGTTCTGAAAGCAATACCAACTAGATTTT